TCTAAAAAATGTAATGGCAAGGGGAGGAAATGAATGTTATCTGTAACATTAACCTATAAGCTTTCGCTTACTGTTAATCGACTACACTAATACATCCCTAAAATGAGTCATTCGGACATAAGTGGTGAACTTGATCACTGTATCTGATTTTCAACTACAGTACTGCATATACAGTATCTTTTAATGCTGCTGTACCGAAAGAATTTTCCTTTAATAAGGGTAGGACAGCTATTTCAAACCATTGGTACCTCTTTACATGTCACCTTGATGTTCTCTTTCTCTTGTTCTCTGTACTGCTATTTTCTCCTCACTCTTCCATTTCACAGTGAAATTGATATCAAGGTTTAACTTTCCTGATCAAAATGCAACTGATCCTCCGGTCTTCACTGTGCTGGTCCACTGTCATGCAAAACTGGAGTGGCAGCTCTTCTGTGCCAAACTACGGGATTTGTCATGCCAATTTCTGGTACCATGCTAGAGTTACCAACACCTGAATTAGACATGCATAACAGTTGTAGAAAGTTAACCTCAGGAAAGCACTCTGTCCTGTTGTGACAAAAGTTAACCTCCTCTTGGGGAGAAAAGTTAAAGTGGATCTGTGTGTGATTTTGAGGACTCTAAAATACTTCTCTGCCTCTAAAGAGCCCATTGTGACCATGGTCTATCAACTTTAGACCAAACTATCTATATTAAAGGAAGCATATTCCATTCTCTAGTCCTGAATCCATGATGACTTAGTACTGTGTCAAACTAGTTTAAATTTTGAGTTTCCAAATTATTTGTAGGATAGGTGTATGTTACATACTCAGATTTTAAAAAGAGGGAATCTGTGCTGGACTATTCAACCTGATAGGAAGTGTAGCAGGGTATTTGATAAGTGCAAATCTTGTGTTGCAAGTAATTCTAGAGAAAAAAGAATACTTCAGAGTCATGTCACTCAATTAACAAAAAATTTTGCTAGCAAGCTTTTTATCCAGGTAAAGTTCTAGTGATTTCAGTTGAAGTTGTTATATAGGAGTGCTTAATAGGATCCAACTAGGTGGTTGATGTTTTTTCTCTCATGTTTGACAGAATATCAATTATGGGATAACTTTCTAAATCAGAAATAAGAGTCCTGAGGTATTGGCATTAAATATCTTCATTTCAGGGTCAATGTAAAAAAGTATTTAGACAGGAGACTACAGAACCTTGTGTCTTGGCAGCCATCGGGGGTGAGCAGTAATAATGTATTCACTGCTAGCCCTGGTAACTCCCAAGATGCATCAAACCCTTAGTCAATCATTCTGGTTACTGCCTTGCTCTCCTTCAACTGAAGCCTCACTCAGATGGTGTACTGAACTAGTTAGAAACAGATTTTTAAGCTTTTAGAAGATACAAGTCTCAGAAGTAGTATAAAACCTCTCAGGAGGTCAGCTCAGACTGTTAACTTAAAAATAAAGTCCTATATTTTCTCAGCTTAATTGTCGGTAGGATTGCAGAAATAGGAAATACTCATAATGCTGTTGGTAACAGGAGGCTCACAGCTTCTTATACTTTTCAAAGAATGAATCTGAGCAGAGGGTGCACATCTAACTCTAAGATGTGGGGGACTGTTGAGAAGTTATAAAACTAACATTATACTAAAAAATGATTAAACTAGATAAGCTATAACATTAAGGTTTCATATCTTGACCTGCTAAGCTAGAATTGCTTCACCAAACCCATACAATTGTATCAGAACTTGTTGACTCGAAGTACTGGTATTTAACTGGTTATCAGAGAAAGTGTCAATTCCTGCACAGGAGGAAGTTTTCTATTTTAGGGCGTGTCAGAATTGTTTTGTTTGGATTAATTAGCAGTTATACCTCTAAATCTGACCGTTCTATTTGTTTTTTAAGTTTGTGTTACGTATTGTTTTGAGTCTTGTACAAGGCAGATTGCTAAGTGTAGTTGGAAGACCCATGTCTACGTGAAAAGTGTGAGAGAGTGCCAGGGTGTGTGGGGTCCTGAGAAAATAATCTTAATTAAATGCTGGAGAGTAGCTTAAAACCAAAAATCTTATTTTTAGATGCTCTGGAAGTAAATTGATCTCTGAGTGAAATGCATGGGAGAGTCAACATGAGTTCTTAACTGGCCTGTTAATAGATCTGAAACTAACTAGAGTTGGTTCTTGAAGACCTCACTTGTAACTATTAACAGAAAAGCAACATTTGGAAAAACTTTCCAGGTGAACAAGACCTAAACTTAATTCTGGGATATAGCTACAATGTTAGGGTCTCCTCTGAACCTCAAAACCTTGTTTATCTGAAGAGCTAGCCCTGGTGTTTGATGTAAAATTCCAGTTCAGAAAGACATTAAAGTTTCCGCATGCAAAGATTGTAATGGATAAAAATAATCCCTGAGATCTCAATTTACAATCCTGTTACTGATAGTGAAATCTTAATTATTTGTTTGTATCTTACTGCATTACAGACCTTCAGAGAACCAAGTTAGAATCCATAATTTATAGATTATCATTTTATTACCTTTTTTGTTTTGGCATTTCATATTATATTAGATGACAGCTCAACCAGTACACTGCTATGATCTTTTCCTGTCACTAAATTCAAGTTGGCTGGTTTGCAGGTTCTGCTTTTATCAACATCAGTAAGGTTCTGGTCTGTATGATGAGAGCTCTTAAATAGTACCCTTGAAGTTGTTTACATCTGGAGAGTAACTGTTTACATCTGGAGAAGAGAGAGTGAGCAAGAAGAATGAGCTATGCTAGGCAGTTCTGGTGAAAGATAGTTGAAGTGAAGCAGACTCTTGCCTGAGTTTGCAGCAGTTAAGTAACTTGATGGTGCCGTGGCAGCAAAATCAAAGTGGTTACTATATAAACTGGGCCCTAACGCTGAGGGTACCCATGTTTGTCTATCACAACTAGAAGATAAAATTAATTCACCACTTGTTATGTGGTGCTAAGTTTACAGAGTTGACCTCAAATACTATACATGTAGGGTGTTCCTGACACAGGCTATAAACTGCCCAAGAAAATTCTGACAGAGCAGTGGTAGGAATGAGGGAGCCCATCTCAAGTTCTGTGAGAACCTTAGTAACATCTCTCTGGCTTCAATAGCTCCCTTGGAAGGGGGGTTGTGCATTCCACTATGTACAAGCCTGAAACATGTTGAATTCCTCCGGGTTGGAAACATCCCTCCATCTGGACTCTTTCCTGTTGTTCATAATCCCTATCTGAAATGCAGACAGATTCAGGGTAACAGGTCTGATCAGATTAAAGCCCCATATGGACTACACTAAGGATCTGTGATGTAGAATAGCAGCTCTGAATGCTTGCTTTTCTGTAAACCTGAGATCTTTTTGGAAACCTGCTTCCTTAGAACATTGCTTCCCTGAGTTTGGGGAGCGGGGTGTTCATTCTTGAATTCAGGGTGGGAGGGGAGGAGTCGAGTGCTGTAGCTTCTTTGTTGTATGGAGTAGGATTCACATGTACCTGGGCATCCTAGGAAATTGTGAATCAATGACGTATGAATCATGATCAACATCACATACACGCCTCAAACATCTCTAAACTCCTTCTTGCTGTAATTTGTAGCTGTTGATCACCTTTCCGTAAAGTCAACTAAAGGGGATGCTGTTCCAAGGAGGAAACTGCTCTCTTCCTCTCTGAAGTTGTGTAAATGTGCTGGGGTGGAACGTTGCATCAGATCTCCCTCCCCCCCACCCCCCTCCTTTCTCCAGTGTTTCAGTGACTCTCTTGTTGATTCTTCATACAAATCAGATGGAAAGTGACCTTATTTTTCCTAGTGACATCAGTGTTTCTTAACTGATGCTGGATCTGGCTTGTATCCTCAATGGGACAGGGAGAAAACATTTTATAGCAGGACTTGGGAGGCTTGCAAACAAAAGTAAAATCAGTTAAAATAGAAGTCTGCTTTACGAGACAGTTCTATTATCAGCTTTTTAAATAGTCAAACAAATCCAGTTTCCCTTTTGAGCATGTTAGAGCCAGCAACAGAAGGTGAAATTCTTCCTGCTACGGTTCTGAGCCCTGGAGGCTGTCTGCAATAAAAGGAAGTTGTGTGCTCAGGCTATAATAGTGATTCATGCTTCAAAATGTCTTAATGTATGGTGATAAGATTGAAGCATATGGCTGGCTGCCCCTCCCTGCAGTCTCTTTGCATTAAGTGTTCCTAGGGTGAGTTCTGAAGCTCTCTGGTACTGAGTAAAGCAGGAGTTAATAGAAAGTTTTTATACACTTCTCCAAATGAGAAGTTTAAATGACTTACGTGCCTAAGTCACCCTTGTGCAGCACTGAGAGACTAGTTCCCTGGTATAGACACATCAGCATGTAGATAGAAAGTATTAACAAGGGACACGTTGTTTCAGAAGCAGCTTTGCATTCTTCTCTTGTGCAGCTGCTTGTCTTGGCATGTGCCAGAGCATGTCTCAGTTTGGCATGCTAATTCTGTGGGTTGAGACATTGCTGGAGTCTTGGAATTCAGGTGTGGGCATGGCCACCTCAAATGTATTTTGAGGAATCAAAACTGCCAAATCTTATCTGAAACTTTCTTTTTCTAATGAAGCTGTTATACATGTAGAAAAAGAACTGACCCTTTGATAGCAATCTTGCAAGTAGTCCGTTATGGCTCTAATCACAGCCGTGGTTTTCCTGTATTCTGTAATATTTTGTGTCAGGATCTTCTACTTCACATACTGCCATGGTACCTGAGCACCTACAACAAAATACCTGGAAGCTGTCCTTGCTAGCCTAGCATGGATAGGCTATGAATTACTATGTAATAGATATGACTTGGTCTTTATGGACTGGCCAGTGGAGCCTCAAATGGGTTCTGGCAGCTGAGCTATCAAAGGTATTATCTGAACAATGGGTAAGCATGCTACATCTAAAATGACTAAACTGGATGATGTGACTAGTCATGCCCCAGTCTGAGCAGGAATCTTAACATTGAGAATGCTAAGAATATTGAGCATTCAGTTTATGATGTGTACAAGGAACTAATTGTGGTAGTCTGTCTCTGCAGGTGGTGAGCAATGGCAGGTATGCAAAGCCTGGTTGAGCGGTTGGAGAAGGCTGTGGAACGCTTGGAAACTGTGTCCCAAAGCCGTGATCTGTATGGAGATGGCTCTTCTGAAGGTAGGGACCCTCTACTACAAATCCCTGTAGGTGGACTGAACACACTGTCTAGCTGATGATGTTTATACTAGACACTGAAAGTACTGATACTGGAAGGCAGATCTTCTGCAGAGCATGCAAGCTGATGTTGTGTAAACCTGAATAGCTGTACTAGGAGGGGAAATTCAGTTTCACACAGATAACATGCCCACGTAGAAATACAGGGAGGGCCTGTGGTTACTGTACTGTTAAAACAAGAACTTCCTGTGGGTGCAGTACTTCCTTTGTCTCCTTATTATCAAGCTGCTTCTTTCTTAAGCAAAAGTACATTTAGAACAGCATATGTCTACAAACTTGAGGATTAGCTGTGCTCACTGCACATCCCTTCTGATTTGAACAATCCTACCCACAAAGTGCTCTGCAAAACGAATGGAAGGAAGGTGGCAGGATTTGCTGAAAATACTCCTGATTAATACTTCCATCTGGTGCCCCTTAACTGCCCACACTTCTGCTCTTTTCCTGCAGGAATAGCTCAGTTTGTGCAAGCTTTTGATGCTCTCCTGTCTGGTCCAGTAGCAGAATATATGAAGATCAGCAAAGACATTGGTGGTGATGTTCAGAAACATGTAAGGATTTAGCTTTTTTCCCCATGTTGTAAATGGGACCACTAACCTAGACTTTTAAGAGCTGACTCAGAGGTCATTGAATTTTGCTTCCTTTTCCCCACTCCCTAGAGCAAAGAGCTAATTTGGGAAGATTCAGCATAGATGTAGATCCTTGGATAACCCTCAAGGGATCTTCATCTGCCTCTTGATTGTGTATTCCCCTAAGTGGGAAGAGGTGCCCAGTTTCAGTGTTGGTAAATTCTTGCCTTGTGTATCCTGACTCAAAAGTTTCTATTGAACCGATCTCCAAGAATAAGGGTTGTAATGTACATTAAAAACAGACCAAATGGCCCAGAATCAGCTGTCTTCACAAATGAAACAATGTAAGGGAGGCCAGAATGATCTCTGTAAATGGTATACTCCTGATGTCTACATGTAGTTACATTGTTCTATCTAGCTATCCTGTATGGCCTTCATTGTCATAGTGCAGTGGTCTCCAACCTTTTTACACCCAAGATCACTTTTTAAATCTCCAAACAGGCGAAGATCTACCACCCCGCCCCTTTCTTGAAGCCCCGCCCCTTTCTTGAAGCCCCACCCCTTTCTTGAAGCCCCACCCTCTCTATTCACCTCTTGACCGCATTTGCTATCCCCAGCCCTTACTTACACACTCTGATAAACAGTTTATTTTTAAATTATGCAATGTATAAAATTAAAATCATGTGTTTATAGTTATGAAATAAATGGTCTGTTTTTTATTCATGCTATTTAAATCTAAAATGAAGCATTTATAATTATACATTTTGTGGGGACAGAGTTCTGCGGCTGGGGGCAGGGAAGAGGGAACAGGGTGCTGGGAGGGCAGAGGACAGGGTTCTGCGGCAGGGGACAGAGTGCCAATGGGGACAGGTTTCTGCAGCTGGGGGCAGGGTGCCAGTGGGGACAGAGGGGGGGAGGGGGGGTGGGGTGCCAGTGGAGGCAGAGTGTCCCCTGTATCTGCCTCCTCCCAGGATTCCCCTGCCCCCAGAGGGAAACCAGCGTGTGCCTGCCCTGGGGCCGACCCACCCGCGGTGCAGGGAAGCCCCCCGCGTGCCTGCTCCAGGGCCGACTGCCCCGGCGCAGGGAAACCCCACGTGTGCCTGCCCCAGGGCCGACTCAACCCTCCTGTGCGGTGCAGGGAGCCGATGCACCCTCCCGCAGTACACCCGGCAGAGCAGCTAGCTCTACTTCCGGAATTGCCGGAAATGGCGCTAAGCTGCAGGACTTCTGTGCATCCCTGGGAAGCCTACACTACCTCCATTTTCACTGGAGGTAGGTAGTGGGAGAGAAATGGGGGCGGGGCGGACAGGATGCCTCGCGATCAACTGGTCGAGGCCTCGCGATCGACCTGTTGGTGACCACAGCCATAGTGTATGACCACCTCATGATCTATTAAATATCTTCACAATGCCCTGTTAGCTAAGTTTTACAAATGGTGAACTAAAGCTGTGAGACGCTAATTGTGTTTTTCCCTACCTAAGTGACTTCCCAGGGTTACCCAGGACATGTGGGTTCAATTCTCTGCTCCATCACACCTCTCCTGAATCCCAGGTTACTACCCTGATCACTGGAGCATCCTTTTTGCTTTTTAAACAATATGAAATTGTTTTTCCCTTTCCTTATAAGGCTGAAATGGTCCATAAGGGCCTGATGATTGAGAGGGGTCTCCTGGTGACCGCATCACAATGTCAGCAGCCATCAGCGGTAAGTCTGGGGAATTCTAACCTAGGTGTCACAGGTCTTGGATAATCTGGCAGAAAATGGCAAAAGCCAAGGAATCTGGGCTCTTAAAATTGCTCCCAGAGAAACCTAGCTGAGAGAGGAGGTGACATCTGCCTTATGACTTAGCACTCTTCTGGTCTGAATAGCACGCACAAAAGGTCTAGTTCCAGAGAGTGATTCAAGACTCACTGAAACTCCTAAAAGATGTGGAGTATTTTATGGATTTGCGATAACTACCTCAGCATGTACAAAGTAGAGGTGGTTCCTTCTCACACTTGGCAACCTGTATGAAAGTCATATTTTATCTGTCACCAATATTTGATACACTTCCTACTCATTGAGCCCATTTTCTGCAACACAGAAAATGTGAAATGGCAGCTGTACTGGGATTTAAGTAGATAATACAGTGCTCGTAAATCCGCAAAGCGCTACACAGACATTCTCACCGCGGCAGCATAGGGGTGTGATTCTATATGGCGTGACACTTGAATAATGGCTAGAGTCTTATAATCTGTTTTCCTTAATAAACAAATCAACAATTCCCCCAACCTGTAGCACCTCTGACTGGGAGTGGAATCTGATCAGTCATGCACTAGTTTTCTGTTTACACCTGGATTTCTCTAGTGATAAGCATCTAAACCCCTTCTTGCAGTGTCCCAGTGGGAAAACTACCACCTCTGCTAATCCTGCTTCAGAATGTCAGGGTTTCTGTGCTGCTTCCCCTTACAATAAGTACAGAGTATAGTTCAGCTGCAGGGTTCTCTTTCTGTCTTAAATGAGACTTCCTAGAACACAGAAGTCTGTTGAATTCATAAATGGGCCTTCTATGTAGATCTGATACAAATCAGCCTTGTTTAAAGTGGCTAATTCCTAGATAGCTTTTTGTAAAAGACATCTTGTAGGCCTCAAGGCAATTCTGTCCCTTGTTTAAAATGCCAGATGCCTGAACTCTGCAGCTTTTTTACCCAAGCATACCCTTACCCCAGGGGTAGGTAAGAGGCTTCCAGCAGACCAGATCTGGCCCGTCAAGCCACTGGATCCGGCCCACAGCCGCCTTGCCGGAACCTGTAGGCAGAGATCAATTCATGTTTTAAAAAGCCAGCTCCGGATTGCTGGGGAGGAGGATGGAGACTTCTCATGCTGTTCTTGACCTCTCTTCTCCCCCTGCCCCAGAAAAATTTCTTAGCTCCCATTGGCCAATCTCTCAGTTTCTGGCCAATAGAAGCTGAGAATTTTTGCTGGGATCAGGGCAGTGTAGGAAGCCTTCTCCCTTCCTGCGCCCAGAGCAGAGCTATGTGGAGCAGCGAGCAGCCTGCAGCAGACAGTCTGCCTCAGGTTTCTTCTTGTAAGCGCCTTCCAGCCAGAGCCTGCCTCTGACACCCCAGCCCCTCCCTTCCCCAATCCTCTTCTCCCTTTCCCCTTTCACATATACAAACCCTCTGCCCCTTCTGCACCCATACCCCCCCTTCCAGATCTGGCACCCCAATCTCCTACCCCAAATCACAATTCCCTTCTTCCCTAGGTCACATCCCAGTCCCCTGCCCTAGGTCACAACTGCCTCCTTCTCCCAGACCACATTCTTCCTCCTGTACCCCAGTCCCTTCCTGGAGTGTCCCCCACCATCAAAAATTATTGCCCACCCCTGCCTTACCCAATCAGAGCTCTAGATCAGACTTTCCTAGACTGGAGCTGGCTGGTGGTCCCAGAGAGCTGGCTGTCCTCTTCTCCTTCTACAGCTGGGCAGATAGGAAAGAATAATGAAGAGATGAACTTAAAGACACAACACTCTTTGCACTTTGCTTTAAAAATAGCTTCCTCTATTATGCTCCATATCTATCACTGCTGACTGGGAGGTGTGTGATTCCATATGGAAAGGAGGAGGACCATGAGACCATCTCTGGTTTGGTTCAAGCTATTAAAGTGTGTCCTGTAATAGAGTAGACCAACTAAATGACCCGCGAAAGCTGCTGCTGAGCAGCTCATTTCCTATGTCCGATTATCTCAATAAACATTACAAAGCAAGATCTCTTGGATATTGAAGTATTTAAAAAAAAAATAAGGGTTTGAATTGAATTCACAAAAGTAACTTGATGGGGTGAGAGTCTCAAACTTCGAATTAAGTTTAGATAGTGAAGTGTCTTGGTTTGTAATGAACTTGTGACACAAACAATTACAGCATTGTTACTGGAGGAGCTGGGCTAGGGATCTAACTGAAACTTTGGCAATTCAAATCTTGAATGAAAGCTGTAGCTTAGAGGGATTCCAGTCGGCACAATACTAAGAACAGCTGTCTTCCACTTCTTTGCTACCTATTCCTTTCTGTGTTGCAGAATAACTTCTCCACACTCCTAAAACCCATTTCGGAACAAATCCAGGTGGTGCAGCACTTCCGGGAGAAAAATCGTGGCAGCAAACTGTTCAATCACCTATCGGCTGTCAGTGAGAGCATCCCGGCACTGGGCTGGGTGGCTATGGTAAGGACTACAGTGGATCTTTGGGGGAGGCAGGGTTTGCTGCTGCAACAGCCCTTCATTCTAATATGTTGTGTTCTCTCTAGGCCCCAAAGCCTGGCCCCTATGTGAAGGAAATGACGGATGCAGCCATGTTTTACACCAACCGGGTCCTCAAGGAATATAAGGATGTGTAGGTTCAGCTTGCTCTGCAAAGCGGGAGGGTGCAAACAGCTGAATACTGACATTTTTGTTTCTGATGTAATTATGGGGGTACATGTTAGCCATCTAGCGTAGAATCCTGAAGGATTAAGATAATAAAATATCTTGGTTTCAGAAATCGGCATCTACTGTGCCGGGCTGGAATGGCACCTCACTAATGCATTGTTTAACCTGCCTGCTTCAGCCAAGTTGCCTAAAATTAAACAATACCTAACACTTACATAAAAGTTTTGCATCAGTAGACCACAGAGTGTTTCACAGTCTCTAATGTCAGTCTCTAATGTGAGGTATTGCTGTGTTCCCCATGGAACAGATGGGGAACTGAGACTCACCCAAGGTCACATGTGGCGTGTGTAGCAGAGCAGTGAATTGAAGCTCTGCCTCCAAAGTCCTAGTTAGTGCCATGTCCCCTCAGTTGGCGTCTAGAATGTGGAACTTGAATGGCTGTGAACAAAGCCCTAATGCAAGCGGAACATAGCTACCATATCCCTGAAGACTTGCCTGTCAAACTCAATACCACTTCTTTCTTTTAGCAGTGTCAAGGTTTATTTAAAGCACCTCTACTTCAGAAACTGCTAAATTTCCATAAATATGTTGATTTTGGATTTGTTACTGAGCAAATCACTGGTAGCAAGTACATTGACATTGATCATGTACCCACTCAGTCCAGGAACCCTTTGGCTTTTCCCCCTGGCCTACGTATAGGGGGCTGGCTTTCTGACTCAAACACCCCACTGCCTAATTTCTCACAAGTAGGCTTTAGTGCTGGGAATTGTTGCTTTTTGCTCTCTCCTTGCACTGATGTTGCTACTCAGCTCCAAATAAACTCCTCTGAAAACTAGGGGTGGGGAAATTTGAGGGTCCAATTTCAGCCACATGGTTTCAGATCTCTGAGATACTAACAAGCACTACTTACCTTGTATTGATCTTGTACCTCTTAGAGATAAGAAGCATGTGGACTGGGTGAAAGCTTATCTGAGTATCTGGGCGGAGCTGCAGGCATACATCAAAGAGTATCACACCACTGGACTGACCTGGAGCAAAACAGTAAGTGCTGACTGTATGTTGTCAATCAATAGTTTTGACCTAGGGAAACTGGTATTATAGGACTGTCACAGGAAGTAGTGGTCGCACAAGTTTAACTCCCTCTTGGGCATCTCTTACAGGGTCCTATAGCAAAAGAGATGGGTGCACCTACAGTACATTCAACTGGTGCTGCTCCTCCTCCACCTGGACCTCCTCCGCCTCCTGCTCCAGTCCCCACACACACTGGTACAGATGACTCTGCTTCCCGCTCAGCGCTATTTGCCCAGATCAATCAGGGAGAAGGCATTACTTGTGGTGAGCAAACTGGGCAACTGAAGGCTGATGGGTGGTGGGGAGATGAAGGGGAGCCATTTGGCTAGTAGGTTATGGAAGGAAAATATTGTAGGTTGTCTCTGCATGGGGTTCTGGGTCACTACCTGCAGACCCTAAAAAGTGATCTCTTCAATGCAGGAAGAGTTTTCTTACCTAACAGCATCCCCTGGATGAATGGGCAGGGACTGCTCAGAACATGAGATCCACAAAAGAACAAGGTTAAGATTTTGTAGTTTAAAAACTAGCGGGGAGGAGGGGAAGGAAGCTCTTCCATGTGCAAACCTGCACACAAATTACCATTTGCATGTTCAGTGACCCAGTGAAATGTGGGTAAAACAAAGCTCACGAAAATTTGGTCCTAGATTTGCATCTTCCCTAGAGAGCATGGAACAGCTGGAGAATTCTCGTTCTAGTTCTAAACATAACACTTTAAATCTGGCTCTGGAGCTCATATAATTAAATGCTGAACACACTTATCTTTCCCCCAGGTTTCTTTTTTCATAGAATCATAGAACTCTAGAACTGGAAGGGACCTCGAGAGGTCATCGAGTCCAGTCCCCTGCCCTCACAGCAGGACCCAGTACCGTCTAGATCAGAGGTTGGCAAAAGGGCCTCCGCAGGCCAGATCTGACCTGCCAAGCGGGTGGATCCGGCCTGTGGAGGCCCTGCTGCTCCTCTGCCACCAGGCCAATTAGGGCCTTGGGGGTAGGGGACCGCGCAAAGCCTTCTCCTGCCCTGCCAGGAGCACATGGTGCTATGAAGCACCACGCAGTGCTCGCAGGGAAGGGGCAGAGTTGAGAAGGCTTCGTGCAATCCCCCACCCCCAGGCTGTAATTGGCCAGTGGGTGGGGGAGCACGTGACAAAAACCCATTTTGTCAGTTGCATCTGTGGATTTTTTTTCCACAAAAGCGTATGTCCACATACACTTGAACCTCTTTAATCCAGGAAGCCTGGGAAACAGGGTATGCTGGATTGTGGAATTTTTCAGACCATAGAGGATATGAGGGTGCATCAGGGGGTTGGAGGTGAGGCACTTGCGTGGCACCCTACTCCTGGGGCACATGGCTCTGTGCCTCCCCGCTGCTATGGGAGCGGTGGGGAAAATCTTCCAGAGAAGCATGTAGCTGTGCTGCTGTTCCCCCTCCTCCTCGGGGAACAGGGAGAGGATGGAAGCAGCAGTGTGTGGAACTACTTCCTCCTTCACTTGCCAGGGTCTGTACCACCGGTGTCCCTCATCTGGGACATCTGGAGTACGGAGGTGTCAGTGTAAATCTGTTAGTCTTGTTGTTTTTTGTGGATACAGACCAACCCAGCTCCCCCTCAGATAATTACCACATTTTCTTGTAGGCTTGAAACATGTCTCAGATGATATGAAGACGCACAAAAATCCAGGGCTAAAGAATCAAAGTGGCTCTGTCCGAACAGGACCCAAACCTTTCATTGTTCCTAAACCAGCCTGTGCTGCTAGCTCACCAAAAATATCATCCCCAAAGAAGGAACCACCGATGCTAGAGCTGGAGGGCAAGAAGTGGAGAGTGGTGAGTGTCCATGTGCCAGCAAGAGTGATGGGAAATCAATAGCTGAGAAGGGTCTGCAAACATCTTTCATTTGAAATAGCTAGAATGTATTAACTTGAAGGAACAATCAGTCTCTGCAGCCTTTTTAATTCTTCAGAGAAGTAGAAGGGTCTTTGTTCACATGACACCTCCATAGATATTTACATCTGTAGCTCTTGAAATCAGAATAACTGGGTATTTTTCACCTTTCATCAGGAAAACCAGGAGAATGCCTCCAACCTGGTGATCCGTGACACAGAGCTGAAGCAGGTAGCATATATTTACAAGTGCATGAGCAGTACACTCCAAATCAAAGGCAAAATCAACTCTATCACAGTGGGTAAGTGCTGGGTCCCAATGGGTTGGGCTTCTGCCTGCTGGCACATCAAAGGGCTGAATCAAATTGGGGCTATGGTACAGTGAGCAATCTTTTCTCCTCTGCAGATAACTGTAAGAAGTTAGGCCTGGTGTTTGATGATGTGGTAGGCATTGTGGAGATCATAAACTGCAGGGACGTTAAAATTCAGGTAACTGCCCCCAACCTTCCTTGTGACTCTGATTGTATAGAACTCTGTCCTGCATCTTGTAGTGACACCTTTCCAGATCTGCCAGTTCACTTTTCAGGATGCAATCTGTCTACTTCTAATTAAGCATCTCCCTCCATTCAGGGGTTTTCAAACAGCCCTGTCTAAACGGGTGAAGAACAGAGAGCAAACTCCTCATACTGAGTTGGATGGATTATCCAG